TCTTGTTCTTAAACATGTAGGCGCAGCTGGTGGTCCTCTCGGCTCAGATTGCCTGGTCAGAGAATGTTGAGTCTGCTCTCAACATCATGTCAAATGGTGGAGGAAGTGACACCAGTCCCATGCAGTCTGTGATGACCAACGTGGAGGTTACACTGAATGTTTTGGCAGATTCGGTGTTGATGGAACAGCCACCATTGCGCAGAAGGAAGCTCGAGCATCTGGTAAAGCGCTTTTATTCCCAATAAGATGTGATTTAAAAAAAAAAATTTTTTTCACTTTTAGTTAAAATATTTGGCGCTTATACATTTGATATAATTTTATAATATATGGTAACTTCACAGATCACAGAGCTGGTTCACCAAAGAGGTGTCACAAGATCTCTGATGAAGCTCAAAGTGGACAACAACAAGTCCTTTGAGTGGCTGAGTCAGATGAGGTTCTACTTTGATCCGAAGCAGACAGATGTCCTGCAGCAGCTCTCCATCCAGATGGCAAATGCCAAATTCAACTACGGCTTTGAGTACCTGGGTGTGCAGGACAAGCTCGTACAGACCCCTCTGACAGACCGCTGCTATCTGACCATGACTCAGGCTCTGGAGGCCAGGCTTGGAGGGTCACCTTTTGGTGAGTATAGCGTGCTGTATGAAGTATGACCCTGTGCACTGCTGTCTTATTTGCAGCTTACTAACTTGCCTGTCCTTTAAATCAGGCCCTGCCGGTACTGGAAAAACAGAGTCCGTCAAGGCCCTCGGACACCAGCTTGGCCGCTTTGTGCTGGTTTTCAACTGCGATGAGACCTTTGACTTCCAGGTAGAATTTGTTTAGTCTGTTATAACATGATCTGCGGACTGTAATTTGAAAGCTGACTTTGGATCACTTTAACCTCTCTTGTACTTTCTTTGTAGGCTATGGGCCGTATCTTTGTGGGTCTGTGCCAGGTCGGAGCTTGGGGCTGCTTTGACGAGTTCAACAGATTGGAAGAACGCATGCTGTCTGCTGTTTCTCAACAAGTCCAATGTATCCAGGAGGCACTGAGAGAGCACTCCAATCCAAACCGAGACAGGAGTAAGATATTATTATTTTTATTTTTTTTTTTTTTTTAAAGTGGATCATTCATTACGAACATACACAAAAACTTGCGACCAATGTCCCTGTCCATGTTCATACGACATTTCATACTTACAAGTGCACCATATGATTTCACTTTCTGTTTTCATGTATAAACTGTTGTGTAATTGCCAAAATGGAATATGTCATAGAGAACATTGAAAAAAGTTTACTTCTTGGTAGGGATGCAAAGAGGCGGGTTTTTCGGTATCGAGTACCGATTTATTTATATTTCGGTACTTGCCGATACGTCCGGTAGCAAAGAGCCGGCTTCCCGGGCAATCAGGCTTCTTGATTGCCCGGGAAGCCGACTCCATGCGGTTTGGCCGGCTCATTGCTGATTGGCCGGGAAGCTGGCTTCCCAGCCAATCGGCTTCGAGGCCGGTCAAACAGATCTGACAATATGATGACACGACCCCCCCACCCTGCAGGCACCTCATTCCCCTCACATAGATCCTTGGCGGCAGTCATTCCCGTACCAGTCCCTCAGCCGGCTGGGCCGACAACGCTCTCCCGGATCATCCCACGTCTCCTGTGTGTACAGCGCCCACGTGATTGGTCCTCAGCCTGCTACTGCACATGCGCAGACTGCCCAGTGCTCTCATTCAGAAATCCTGTGCATGCGCAGTAGCAGGCTGAGGGCCGATCACATGACCGCTGTACACATGGGAGACTTGGTCAGAGCTTGGAGAGCGGTGTCTGACCAGCTGGCCGAGGGACTGGTACGGTAATGACTGCTGCTAAGGATCTATGTGAGGGGAATGATTTGTCTGCAGGGTGGGGGTCGTGTCGCCATATCCGATTTGTTTACACGGTTCGGCTGGGAAGCCGGCTTCTCGGCCAATCGGCATGGAGCCAGCTTCCTGGGGCTATGCTCCCTCGCGGCACTGCTGATCAGAGGAAATCTCCCTCTGACCGTAAGTTCCGGTATCTGGAAAGGTATCGGAGCATTTGGGAGAGTACAAGTACTCGCCCAAATACTCGGTGTCGGCACAGATACCAATACTAGTATCGGTGCATCCCTACTTCGTGGTTTAGTTTCCTCACTGGCTCTGTAGTTTTGTTCTTCAGATATGACTGTCACGTGACCAGCACAGCAAGAACTGTAGTAGCTAGATATACTATGTGGTTTTGTCTGAATGCTGAAAGGAATATTGAGCAGGCAGCTCCCATAATTTAACAGGGGGGTATTTGTTTTTTCTACATACTTAAATTGGTTTACAAGATGAGGTAACAACATAAAATTGTACTGTTGCAATATCTGAGTTGCATGTTTTGTTCTTTCTTAGGTTACATGATCACTTGTGAACTGCTGAACAAGCAAGTGAAAGTCAGTCCTGACATGGCCATCTTCATCACCATGAACCCTGGATACGCCGGAAGATCCAACCTGCCAGACAACTTGAAGAAGCTGTTCCGCAGCTTGGCCATGACCAAACCTGACCGCCAACTGATCGCACAGGTCATGTTGTACTCTCAAGGCTTCCGTACAGCAGAAGTACTCTCCAACAAGATTGTGCCTTTCTTCAAGTGAGTGATTTTATTCACGATTTAAAGAAGAAAAAAAAAATGTATCGGAAGCTACAACTAGAATAGATGGTGATTGCCCCTTTTTTTTTTATTTGTTTAGCATGTTTTAGAAGCAAGGGTTTCCTTAGCAGGTTATCAGATGCTAGTGTCAGCTTGGTTGTCCTGTATTCTCTGCTGACCTAAAAAAAAATCATCTTTTGCCCCATTCACACAGAGATCGGCCAGCACGTACAGCTCCGTGCGTGCAAAGCCGATCGGGAAGCTCCTGGGAAGGACAGGTGCAGCGTGTGATTACTACGCAGCCCCCGTCTTTCTCTATGGGACTACTCGGCCGTACACCCTCCTACGCTCACCTCAAGTGCAGGTCCGTAGGGGTGCGTAGTTCCTGGCTCAGACGCAGACAGGATCCATCCTGTTGGGTAAATTGTAAAGACTCACCGGGCAGACCGCCCATTTGAATTCTTGTCATTTTTCCTTGATACATTTCATGATGACACAGTGAATGGATTAGGTTTTGCATCGTCAACACTCATTTGAAATCAGGAGGCCACTTGGATGGGTGACGAAACATCTTTTTAAAAATTATTATTTATTATTATTCAGGATTTATATAGCGCCAACAGTGTGCGAAGCGCTTTACAATATAAGGAAGACATTACAATCACAATACAATTCAAGACAGGATGGTAAGGAGGGCCCTGCCCGTGAGGGCTTACAGTCTAAAAGGGAGGGGCTAGTGATGCATGAGGAGGTAGCTGTGTGGGGATGAATTGTTTGGGAACGTGTTCAGCATTTCAAGACTAATACAGTTGACTGCGATGCTAATGGCTATAGAATGATAAATGAGAACCTTCATAGACTATATATAACATTCACGTTTTCCATTTTCTTCAGGCTGTGTGATGAACAGCTGTCGTCTCAGAGCCACTACGACTTTGGTCTGCGAGCTTTGAAGAGCGTCTTGGTGAGCGCTGGCAATGTCAAGCGAGAGCGCATTCAGAAAATCAAAAAGGAGAAGCAGGAACGTGGAGAGGCTGTTGATGAAGGAGAAGTTGCAGAATACCTGCCTGAGCAAGAGGTACTGTTATGTATTTATTTTTTTGGTGCCATCGCCTGCCGTGTTTCCCCGAAAATAAGACACTGTCTTATATTTTTTGGGGCTCAAAAAACACACGGTCTTATTTTCGGGGTAGTTCTTATTTTTTTTTAATGTACAATCCACACTTATTCATGTACAGCAGTCCAAATGTATTCATGTACAAAAATATGGTGATCAGGGCAATCAGGGGGTGCCGTACCTTTCCAAAAGCTATTTGCTAACCAATCGCTGGCCAGAATGAGCGAAGTGCACTTTCACTATCGATTCCTCACAGATGGAGTGCATTTGGTATCACTCCGCCTGTGACAGGAGCCAGCGCTATAGAGGAAGCATCGGCTTATGTGTCTCTGCTCCCTCCGGTGCCGCCTCGCTTCCTCTAGCTCTGGCTTCGTTGGCACTGCTGATTTCTCTCCCGGGGCTCTTCAGGTTCCCCCTTATGCCACCACCGGCCCTGGGAATGGTCACAACTAGGTCTTATTTGCAGGGTAGGTCTTATATTTTAGCAATTCACAAGAATAGTACTAGGTCTTATTTTCGGGCTAGGTCTTATTTTCGGGGAAACAGTGTAGTAAGCTTCGTAAAGGGGTAAAAACATTGAACATTTTTGTAATTTGTACACTTTTTGCTTTTTCCCCCTGCAGATTCTCATCCAGAGTGTTTGTGAAACCATGGTGCCCAAACTGGTAGCAGAAGACATCCCGCTTCTGTTCTCTCTGCTGTCTGATGTCTTCCCTGGTGTCCAATACTACCGCGGTGAAATGACCGCACTTCGGGAGGAGCTCAAAAAAGTCTGCCAGGAGATGTACCTGACCTACGGAGATGGAGAAGAAGTTGGTGGCATGTGGGTGGAGAAGGTAACGAGTTAGAGCTTTCTTTGAAAATACTTTTTTTTTTTTGTTAATACTGAAAGTGTGTTTGGAGTTTGAGATCCTCTAATCAGGAGGCTAGTCGTGTCTGCTTATTTGGGCTCCTTGGGGGGATATCTGAGTGATGTCGGCCATTGTGGGCTCAGAATAAACAATCTATATTCATACTCGCTGTTGGCTTTTGTGAGAGCAGAATGTAGGCGAGGCGCATAATAAACTCACGGGGCAACAGAAAGGGGGTTAAACCTTTGCATGCCACTAGTGCTACAGGTATCTTGTGGAAAACACTGCTAAAGGGCTGTTTGTTCACTAGTTTTTCTCTTCTTCTTAGGTCCTTCAACTCTACCAGATCACACAAATTAACCACGGCCTGATGATGGTTGGTCCCTCTGGAAGCGGCAAGAGTATGGCCTGGAGAGTGTTGCTGAAATCCCTGGAAAGATTGGAAGGCGTAGAGGGAGTTGCTCACATCATCGACCCTAAAGCTATCAGCAAGGACCATCTGTACGGCACCCTGGATCCAAACACCAGAGAATGGACAGATGGGCTGTTCACCCACGTCCTCAGAAAGTAAGTGTTCAAACATCCATCAAGCCCAGCAAACCGCAGGTCAGGTCAGTGATATACGCAGAGAAGGCTCCAGGCAGCCAGGGATTATAGCTGTAATGTTGGAGCAGCAAATCTCTGGTCTGGAAGTCTGGTTAGGATACTGCAAAGGGACCCTGCAGAAACGATCCTTGTATTTACCCAGAAGGAGCAGTTTCGATCTGCTCTGAGTGAACAAATTTTGATAATTTGTCAGATCTAACAGAGAAGGTCGAGAATCCGACCTACTAGGAGGCTCTTCTAAAACGTAAATCTTCATCTTCCTGTCCCGGGCAGGAGCCGCTTCTGCTCTTATTGTTTATTGGGGGGTACAGGAGGACCTGTGGGTCTAAAACTCTGAATAATTCGAGATTGGCCACATGTTCACCCAGAAGGATTAACCTCTCTTACTTGCAGAAACCTGCAGGCCTTAGCTTAGAGGGTGACACTGCAGATCCTCTGGTCTGCCTTCTTTTGTTTTATGAGAAATTCATTGCACTGGTGACCTTTTTATAACTTTAACATTTTCTGGTTTGTAGGATTATTGACAATGTCCGAGGAGAACTTCAGAAGCGCCAGTGGATCATCTTCGATGGTGATGTGGATCCTGAGTGGGTTGAGAATTTGAATTCCGTCTTGGATGACAACAAACTGCTGACGCTTCCCAATGGAGAGCGTCTAAGCCTGCCGCCAAATGTAAATATTGATGACCGAATTTATGCAAATTATTTTTTTTAAAGGAGAACTATGGGGTTAGGGCTTTTCCCCATAATTCTTCTAAGGGTAGTGGGAGGACACAAACTAGCGTCCTCCTGTCACCCAAAGCTCAGTATACCACGAGCTACAGCTCGCTATATACTGAGACGCCGCAGCCGGGACAGATCCTGGCATTACTGTCTGGATCCACCCAGCTGCGTGAGTGACAGCTGGCTCTGCCTATGTAGAGGCAGAGCCAGCTGTACCCGCCCCTCCCCCATCCGTTCCGCCAGTCAGTGCTGGAGGATCGGACATGATCGAGAAGTGAGCGAGCGACGGTATGTGTTCGCTCACTTCCCGATCTACTGAGCCCACGTGTGACAGTTTCAATGTCACAGGTCGGTTAGAACTATGAGGCTGAGTGATTTTCACTCGCCTCATAATTCTCCTTTAACGTTGAAAGCATTGGGCAATCCTAGCTTAGGACTGTGTTTGTTTGAATTTTGGCAAATCCTTTTTCTGACTTTTCTTCATTTCACTCCAAGTCTTGCCCTTCTTTTTGCTCGTCCTAGGCAGGTTCTTGCAGCTTGATGTTCTCCAACTCTTGGGGAAACTGTAGCTCCAAGCTGGCAGTTTCACATTTTAAAGCTCTTGTAATATTTAAAATATTGGGGTGTTGTGAGCATAGAACTGAGGTTTTTGTATTCAGATGGCTTGGTTGATTTTCTAGGTGCGGATCATGTTTGAAGTCCAGGACCTGAAGTATGCTACTTTGGCAACCGTTTCCCGATGCGGCATGGTCTGGTTCAGTGAGGACGTCCTGAGCACAGACATGATTTTCAACCATTTCCTGGCCCGGATGCGCAGTATTCCACTGGATGAGGGAGAGGATGAGGCTCAGCGCAGAAGGAAGGGCATGGAAGATGAAGGAGAAGAATCTTCTTCTCCAATGCTCCAGGTAGGTGTAAAGCACAGCTGTCCTTCATGTTTCCTGGTTGTGGGAGTCCAGGGATGGAGCACTAGTTTGTAGGGTTGCAGAGCCAATCTGTGTGTGTTATATCTTCCAGCAGTTTTGCTAGCTGCATAACGGGGTGGATGATCTCTCACTGGGGAGGGGTAGCCCATGCTGGTGGTTAGTGTTGACTGAGAGCATGCATAGAGAAATAAAAGGAGAGGTGAAGTCTCCCAAGGAATGTACACGTTTCATTGACAACTGGGATTTCCTCTCAATTACTGTGATGTCATCTAATGAGGAAGTCATAAGTAATATTACAAACTCAAGCTGGGTTATTACTCTTCCCCACTCTTATCTAAAAACCCCCCAAAAATGTTCTGTAATACCACTTTTTAATAATTTGTT